TATATATATATATATATATATATATATATTTAAAAAAAAACCAAGAATATTAATTCCTCATATATAATTTAGGGTTTAGGATAACTTTTGGATTTGTATTACAAAGTCTTCGATGTCATGGTCGCGCTGTCATATGGCGTTACCATTATACACTTGTATCTATATTAATACTATACTCTAAAGTCCAATATATAGAACAATGTTATCCACTCGTATTATAATACATAAATTAGCAACAACACATGACAGTGTAACAGTCTCATCTTATTAAAATTTGTCAAAGTAAAGTGCATATGATAAAACAAGTGTAAAAGGACCAAACGTATATTGTTTAACTAACCGACTTTATCGTTCTTACTATAATTAAATACTTGTTGAGATAATCACCTCTTAGTCGAAACCATGCATGCATCATCTCATGAGCCAAGATTGCGCCGGTCATAACCCTGTATGTTGATTTGAGTTCAAACTTGTAAACAAAATTCGAGTTTATAGAAGTTTAATGAAACGCACAAGAAACTTGAGGTGAAAATAAGGATTTTTGTAATTCATTAACAGTCGCAATTAAGAAAGGAAGGAAGGTTGAGAAGTACTTAGGCAAACCGAACGCAATTGCTATTCTTAAAGGGCTGCCATAGGTAAGATGCTGCTGTTTGGCTGTTATAATGTTATTCCCTCTCCTTGAAAAGCTTGTGACCTGCACATATATAGGTTTCTTTTATATTTTTGAGAGAAAACAAAAAAGCAAGCGTGGGTTAGGTCAGTTGGTCAGGACATTAAGTCTGTCCCTTTGTAACCAAGTTCGGGTCTCCTTCCCCATTAATTTAGACTATTGTTTATACAAGAAAGCCAAAATAAAAATAAAATGTGGTGATAAAATTTCTTACGCTGATGAGAGGAGGTCCATAGCTCATAGTTTTCCCAAAAACGAGGGAATCTGGATGAGGAGGGTGGTCAATTAGGGTTTGCAAACCAGCTCCTCCTCTCCCAGAAAGTCTTGCCATCTCAAATTCATCCACCATGGAAACATGAAAGTCGTGCTTGCCAATTTGAATTTGCAGTCCATGGTTGAAAAATTCAAGGCATATATCCACAAGAGGTTCACATTGTTGGGTAGTAAAGATTGCCGTGGAATAGCATTCATCGCAAATAAGCCGACCATCACCAAGGTTTATATATGTTACATATTTTGTCTGCACTAAACAAATGAATTAATTTCTTATCCTATGATTTTTTTAAAATTAATTTAATAAGGGTATACTTGAATTTTTGTCAAAAAGTGGGTTCACAATGTAAAGACTTATCAAAAATATTTTTTTCCTTTAGATTGAGTAGTTTACTCTCACATTAAATCGAGAATATTTGGTATTTTTGTTGGCTTATTCTCACATTAAATTGAGAATTCTACTTACAAAAAATGATAGAAAATTTTAAATAGTAGTCAAATTTGGACTTGATAAAGATTTTCAGCCCTTTTTTTTTTTTTTTTTCTTTCTGACTTTTAGAATTTCGACCATTCGAAGGGCCTTGATTACTGTTTGAGAGGGTCTTCTCAGAGGGTTCGAGCGGTACTTGAGAAGCCTCAAGTGAGTATATTTCTAAATATTGAGAAAAAGATGCTAAAAGTCTATGAAGTTTTGGTCATATAATCAACATTTTAAATTGAAAACGTTGGTATTATGGAATCTTTGATTTGGTTTATGCTACCAAAACTCATATTAATTAGTCCCTTAATTTGCATTTAGAATAAAAGGTGATAATTTGGCAAACCTTGAGCCTCCTGCAGCTACAGCATTCCGGAGTCCCGTCTCGTAGATGAGCAAGACAAACTTTTTGGTTCCATATTTCAGAGCATACCGGAATTTGATCAGGTGGATGAGTGCTCTTGATCTGTTGAAACTATCTTTTAGATGAAACACATAGAACGATCGCTAATTAAGGTAATTAAATGTAAATGGTTTACATTTCTTAAATTCATTTGCATGTTAATTCAGCCTGGATTATTAATTAAATGTAATAAGATTCAAGCCTCTTCTCAATTTATGGATTCCCAATTCAACTTTCAGCTATAAATCATATAACTGATAAGTTAAAATTACACATAACGGCTATTTTAATTGTTTCTTTTTATCAGACAACATAAGATGTTTATGCAATTAGACTATGAATATGGACCATTGATCAAGTTGATTTTGTCCAATTTTATGGCTGAGATTCAGTGTGACAAGAGAAGATTATCGTTTCATAGATTAATTCCGCTTTAATATTTTAAGAAAAGGGTCATTTTAGTTACTTACTGTTGCATCACAAACGTCACAAACCCTTTGCTTCTGACGACTAGAGCTGGAACAAGATAAAGAAAATATGTCAATCTTATGTGAAGACCTAAAGCTCTGTTAATTCAAGTCTAGAGTCTATATTTTAAATTAAGGAAAATTAAGGACGGTTGAGAATTTGTAATATACAAATAATATGGGTTTGTGAGTAATTAACATATCCAGTTTCATGGCTGCATTTACCTGCTGGCTCCTGGAGATCTAAGGCTTGCCTTAATAGCTTCAGCAAGGTCTCTGTCCTCATCGTAAGAAGGTTCATTCTCTGAATAAAAAATAATAATAATACATTTGTAAGTTTTATATTTAACTACTAACAACTTAAGAAGTGTTTCACTAAAATCATACAAACATTAAAATATCCCTTTTCTCTGAGATTATTATTATTTTTTCTTGTTTTTGACTCAAATTTTTGAACTTAAATATCTGGTTTTGGACTCAAATTTTTTCTTTCTTGAAACAACTCTGTAGGTTTGGTGCAGGAGCTGAGCCCAAAACCAATCCAAATCAACTTCTTAAAGACCCTTTTTTTATATAAACGATAGTCTAAACTACGGAAGATGAGGGTTTCTCACACACAAACAATTACGATGTCAAGGGAGTTTGACCCTGAGACCACTAATTTGTAAATCAAAATCATTTTTCATTGGACTAAACCCTGTTGGCCTTGTAAAAGACTTAAATTATTTTACTACAATTATTCAAAGGAGGGGAGGGCAAGCATCAAACTTTTACCATGAAAATGGGGTGAAAAAAATGGGTAAAATGCTAGCCAGATCATAGAGGTTAAAATATTTAATCATTTCAGCCAAAAGCCCCACATAGAGGTAACCTATTTTGTATACCAATTGATCAATTGAAAAACATCAACTGTTAATCGTTGCTTCAGGGAAAAATTTGTTTGTCGGGTAAGGGATATTAAGCAGACTCACCGTTTTCCTTTTGCCCTTTTCCACATAGATCCAAGAGAGAGAGCCGCATGGCGCGCTCTATATCATCAATTTCATGTTGAGACATTGTATCCTGTATTTTCTCCAATATAAAATGTTGATGGAGACACATAAAAAAAATATAAAATCATGAGAAGGAAGTAAAGGAAAAGAAATTTATAGAATACTCATGCAGAGGCGTACACGTAGTTTTTTCTAAAAAATCAATGTAGGAGATGTGATTCGAACTTCAGACCTCTTTCTATATTAGAAAAGGAAATATCATTAGACACATAGATAGTTGATAAGGCGTATATGTATATGCAGGTCAGATTTGGGAAAATAAGCATGTTGAATTATTCATGAAGAGTTAAGAAAACAAATAGTGAAAATCCACGTCATAAAGAGGCAAAATTCCCAATCATGCACAAATATTCACACTTTCAGCTTCGCGTGCTACTTATTTAAAATAGAAATTTGCCACTCATTAAGCCAAGAGCGTGGACATTTAATTAATTTCCTTTTTGTTCTGTTTTCAAAAGCTATAATCCTTCATAATTTCATGATTGTAATTTATAATTGGACAATATACTTTGCAGAGTAAATCACCCTTTTATATACAATTTTGGAATCGAATCGGAGCGTCACCGTGGAGGAATTTAATGGTAATGCATCCAGTATGAAAAGTGAAGGAAATTACTTCTGGCATTCTAAAACTGTAGAATCATCTGTATCATAGACTCTCCTCAATTATGAAATTTTTGTTGTGTACGTATGGGATTGAGACCCACTTAAGAATTACAATCATTAAAGCTCAAACCTAGAACCTGTTGACACTCCCTGAGTACTAAGATGATTTGCACTTAAACAAAACTTTAACAAGGCTAACAAGTGGCAACGGTCGAATATTGAAAATGGTTGCGGCCGTGAGATACGCACATACCGAAGATACATATATTTTAAACCAGATGGACGAGAAAATGGTTAAGTAAGCGCATGTTCCGGTCAAGACAATTACTGCTACAAGATTTACAAGGCACCTCAGAGTAGAAAGGTCACCTTCTGATCCTTCGTCGGGAAAATGGCCTTCAGAATCAAAATCGGAAAGCAACTGGTCCTTGAGATGAAATCTGTTCATTAACCAAGTTGTAACCTCGTCTTCAGATGTTGGAATATTGTCTAGGGGGATACGCTGGACATGCATATGAACTTCAGAAGGGTTCACACCAGAGGCATTGTCAAAGAAAGTTGGGCAGCTAGGCTTGTAGCCAATAGTCACATCATAAACTGAAGTAAACAGAAAGACCAAATACACTGTAAGCTGACGAGTAAAAAATAACACAATCATCTGAAAGACGTGGTTAGAATATCAAACAACCTCAATTCTATATGGTCCTATAACCTTTCATTTTCAAGTGAATATGTTAAACTACTTCTTACTTGACCATAAATAAACAAAATGAAAGGGAAACCAAAATGGTTGACATATAAATTTTTGAGTAATCAAAGGCAAACACAGAGCAATGAAGCAGCAAATCCAGCAACTCAAGCATTCCAAGCACAGATGTTGCTCCCTATTTCAATTACAAATATATTCAAACACAAAACTATGAAATCATTGCAAAAGATGAGCACAATATTCAATAAATTTGATCAGAAGTAAACGTGATGGAAAAAGTAAAAGGGACAAGTTAGATACATTGGCTGCTGTAGCACAATAAGGACGCTCAACGCTATCTAATCCAACAAAGCCATCGCCTTGAAACAAGTGCTAACAATAAGAATGTGTGGTGGTGTCACAATTTATACAAATAATCTTCCTACAAACAGATTGGATTTGTATAAGGCCCCTATACGAAGAAACATTCAAAGCTAAAAGTTGAACTCATTTGGAAAGAAGACAAGCTAGTCTATATATTATCAAATTCTTGTTAATAAATCCAACAAATTGTAATCAACAGGCATCGTTCAGATATTCTACAGCACTGGTAAGAGTTTCAGCATTCTTTCTCTGCACAGACCGACAACAAAATATTTTTAAAAACTTGCTTAGGTCTTTGCATTAATAAGAAAGAAAGGCCCTAAATGAATAATGAAGTACTGACATTTGAAGTGGCATGTTCAGAATTTCTACAAATAGTCAAAATCCATTTGAGCCTACAAGCTTATGCAAGCAATGCAAGGTTTGGTTTCATCCTGAAAGTCGAAGGCTTATTCTTTGAATACATTAGCAACGGAAACCAGAAAAAAAAAATTTAAATAAATTCAGAAACAGAGGCAGGTTATAAGTCGGATAAAACTGAACCAAAAACTTTGATATTTCAAAAAATTTAAAAATCCTCATTGGGAACTATTGCCCATAAGTCAAATAATTAATATCGTTAGATGAAGATCAGCCAATTTGCAAAGGTAGAGCCAATTCAAGACAATTCAGTCACCATGCAAGAAAGGATGTTTTGCATTTCAAATTGTAAAGAAAAAAGCGGAACTCGTTCAAATAAAGAGTAAACCTCCAAAATAACAGGTAAATAAGGCAACCTGCATCCAAAGATCCCCTCAATTCTTCTAAACAGGCACTGAAACCCTTTGTTTTTGGAAGCAAGACATGCTTTAGAACTGGTAAGCCATTTTCAGCAGCATATTTCTGACTACGTATGCTCTTCTGCTCACTGCATAAAATAGTCGGGGGAAGAAATGATTCAATACATTATTAGGATAAAAAGTGTTGGACGAGAACCAATATATAAAAAATGAATGTGATATTGCATACCCTTAGATTATACCAACTCTACAATAAAAATTGAAAGCAACAACAGTTCAAGAAATTACGTGAAATCTGTTCCTTCTGGGAAAAGTGCAAGCCAGAGGGAATCTTGGGGATCCTTCAGACTTGAAAGCATTCGGCGCATGTTTAATTCATCGACCTCCCACTTCCTCTCCACGGAGATGAACTCCAATATGTGAAATGACCAACCAAATAAAGGCAGTTTCATTAAACTGCTTTTAAGGATATACTTTATGTATCCCTGGCGTCCCTTTCGCAATGCCAAGTCCCACAAGTACATCCAGTCAACCTCAGTTCTATGGTTTGAAATAAGTAAAATGCGTTCACCATCAGGAACAGTTTCTCCAGAAAATATAACTTTTGTCTTGTTTATCTTTTCAAAAAGAAAAGGCCACAAAGCTAACCAAGCACCAAAGAAGAAGGATGTTACTCTTCTACTGTAATGTATGCTGAAAAGTCTAATTATAACAGCACCCAAAAAGCCAAAATACACTAACATCATAAATGCAGTCGAAACAAGTACAAGTAAGCACACAACACCTCTAATTGCTCTAAGTGGAGTTAAAGGAAGGTGCTTCATTGCATCATTCGAAGGTTTTTGAACTTCCATGTGTACTCAAACAGTCAAATCCAATCACAACTCTTAAATGAGAGTTGCACTACTTCCCTTATGTACCCACTTACAGTGATCCTAATAGGATGATGAGGTCCCAACCCCAAAAGGTCACTATTGCAATAAATTAAGCGGATGAGAAGAAGCTCCTAGGCTCCTAGAAGAATATTGAAGGAATTATGTTCTTGGCTTCAAGAAATGACTCCTACAGAATCTAGTAGCCACGCTGACCATTAGCAACTACCTTCAGATAGGCTGCACAAGGAAAGTCAGGAAGGTACTCAGCAATGTCATGTTTCATGGAACAAAAAATTAGTGTAGTGCGGGATGAAACATTGTTAAATGCAGTATGCAAAGGTAACAGTTGGCAGGGAAAAAAAAAGTACCCTCAGAAATTCAATTGCATATAATAGCAGAGAGGAAAAGACAGTTTACAAGATAGCGCAACAGTTATAATTGGTAAAATCGATATTTCACTACCAGGTAAAAGCTGAACAAATAGCTAATTCCTGCATAAAGCATCCAACATGATTGGAATAAAGCATGCCTCGGAAAATAGGTTGAAACTGTCGAGCCAGGTCTTGAAAGCGGGTAGGCTATTCACAGTTTAACTTTCGGGGCAAACTTCTATTTGCAGTTCAACCACTCATGTAGGCATAAAGATAAAACTAAGGACAACTGCACACCTCTGATGTTTTGCTCATTAGTTCTGCTATTTGCTAGATTATAATCCGGATCAGGTCATAAGAGAAAAATTAATTAACTCAGATGGAAAATCATTGCTTCCAAGTGAGTGAGCAGAGCTCATCATTCATCATACGAATCTAATTTGTTGATCTAATTACTTTCCAAGTAACTCAAACCTTAATCTATGCCAAAAATCAAGTGAAACTCAACGCTGAGGATAAGCATGACTTCAAAACCTCATAAACAAAAATCAATAGATCCAAAACTGACTTCTTCTACCAAATCTGTTCTGACTCTTCTCAAACAGAAATGAAAATGAGAGTTTCGCCAAAACTACCGTACCGTAACTCGTTTGGTTGCGGAGAAAACCGAGGAAAATCCAATGAATATCATTTCGCTGTTGATTAGATTTCCAAAATGAAGTGATAGATGAAAAACCACAAGCGCAGACAGCTTAGCGTTTCAGAGCAACTAGGAAATGAGATCGAGCAGTTTTCCGAGACTATTTAAAACTTTCTCGGAGTTTCTAGGCAACCAAACGGCACTCTATAAACATAAAACAATGTAAAAATCAGAGACTAGGGGTGATTGTTGTACCTGGTTGCGGTAGGCCACAGCTCCTGGAATCCGGTTTCGTTGATATCTTGTGGGAGCTACGAGAGGGAGAGACTAGTCGGGACTGTGAGTGTTGAAGGGGATAGGAAAAGAGGCTCATAAGTTTCTTAAATTACGGAATCTGCCACGGGCCTCATGCTGCCGATTTCAGATCCTCTGGCCCCAATTTCTCTGTAGCCTCCCTGTCTCCTAGCTAACACCCGGACACTTTTAACTCTTAACTTAACACTGTTAAGTAAATAAAAAATAAAAAAAAATTATAAAACGAAGAGTTCGAGCAGTGAGTCAATCAGCCAAGACTCCCCTCCTCTGCCGCCGCCTCCTCCTCCTATCTCTCTCTGTCTCCCACCAGGATTGTATTTCACTAATCCAAACCGTCTATTTTGTAGATACTCATTCAAAGATCGTCTCTACAAAAAATGACTTGAATCCGATATCATTTGACCACTCAATTGAGTTATTGAAATTTTAGTACTTTCTTGAAACATCGTGTTCATTGATTTTTTAAGACACAATTGGATGTCGAAACGGTTTCCGATTTGTCTAATTTTTTGTAAAGATGATCTATGAATGGAGACCTAAAAAATAGATGGTATGGATCATTGAGAAAAAAATTGTAGGGTACACTAAATGGCGTCCCTCAAATAAAATTATTTAAGGGATCTCTCAGTAGAAGGGGACTATATATATATATATATATATATATAAGAATTTGCTCATGCTAAGCCGTTTAACACTCGAGTTTCAAGTTGCTCAACGCTGAGCATAAGCATGACTTCAAAACCTCAAAAACAAAAATCAATATATCTGAAACTGACTTCTTCTACCAAATCTATTATGACTCTTCTCAAACAGAAATGAAAACGGGAGTTTCGCCAAAACTACCGTACCGTAACTCGTTTGGTTGCAGAGAAAACCGAGGAAAATCCAATGAATATCATTTTTAGTGTCGATTAGATTTCCAAAATAAAGTGAGATGAAAAACCACAAGTGCAGCGGACAACTTAGCATTTCAGAGTTACTAGGAAATGAGATTGAGCAGTTTTCCGAGACTATTTAAAACTTTCTAGGAGTTTTTCGGCGACTAAACGTCGCTCTATAACATAACATAACATAATGTAAAAGTCTGAGACTAGAGAGTTGTTGTACCTGGTTGTGGTAGGCAACAATAGCTCTTGGACTACGGTTTCGTAGACATCCTGTAGGAGCTACGAGAGGGAGGAGATTAGTTGAGATTGTGAGTGTCGAAGGGAATAGGAAAAGAGGCGCGTAATCTTAAATTACGGAATCTACCACGGGCATCGGGCTGTCGAGTTCAGATCTTCTGGCCCCGATTTCTCTGTACCTTTCCTGTCTCCTAGCTAATTTATGGACACTTGTATACTACCTTATCACTTGTCAAAGAGCGAAGGGGTGGGCACGGTACAGGATGACATAGGATGGAGGTTATCCTGGTGTCAATCCCGGATAGCGGAATCGGGATGAGATGATACAAGATGAGAGTTTTTAAGAACACATTCAAATTATACCGGTATCAATGTTGATACCGTAAAAAATAATGCAAAAATTCAGAAATGTTGCAAGTTTTATAAATCAAGCCTGATACAAACAAATTTTACAAACAATTAAGATTCAAGAGTTTGTTTATACACTTTGAGAAAAAAATCACCCATGACAAGAGGAAGAAGAAAAAGAGAGAGAGAGAGAGAGAGAGAGAGAGAGAGAGAAGGAAAGGAGAAGAGAAGGGAGATGAAAGAAACAAAGTTGAAGTCGGAATGTTCATGGGAGAGGAGGAATCTGAATTTGGGGTTTATTATTTACTTGGTAGTGTTTGGTATGGTATGACACCAAACGGGATCACAAATCTGGAACCAGTGTTGGGCCAAACAGTAAAGGGATGACACGGTATCATCCCAAACAGTAAAGGGATGACACGGTATCATCCCATTTACACTTCAACACCAAATAAGACGACACGAGATTGACACGATTTCAAGATGGTTTGTATTTTGGTTTTTTGCTTACTGGTGGTTGTTTGCTTACTAGGGTTTGTTATTTTTTCTAATTTTATATTTTTTTTACTTAATAGTATTAAGTTAAGATTTAAAAAAAAGTTAAGTGTGGACAACTATCAACATATTAGCTAGGGAACATACACAGTGCAAAAAAAAGTTGGGAGGTTCTGCAATCTGTGCTGCCTGACTAGTAATTGAATAAGGAAGGTATACGGATAATACTTGGTCCCAGTCGGAATGGTTAAAAATTACAATGGTATCTCGCTATGCAATCTATTAATTCTGTCCATTGAAAGCATCCAACGGTTGAGAAAATGTCACATGTGTAACCAATTAAATTTAAGAAGTGACTTGGTAAGTTTATTTTTTAGTAGTTTTGGTGTTTCGAACAGGTGACAAAGGCTCGGGGGTGGCACCTAACCATTGTGTTGAACCCCTCGGTCTTGACTGGGTAAGTTCAGACTCACGAGTTCTTCTTCACTACTTTGATGTATCGATACTAGGGGTGGACTCGGTCCAATCCGGTTTCCACCTCAACCTGGAACCGGAACTATTTAACTAGTCTAGTTCAATTCAATTTTAGTAAAAAAAATTATGAAATCGGTTGGTTTGGTTTGAATCGGTTCTAATTTTTCTGATTTTGGACCAAATTATTATTATTATTTCAAAAAAAATTATGAGATGATACGAGATGAGAGTTTTTGAGAACACATTCAAACTATACTGGATCCAAACGGGACCCGTAGGATTCAGTATCAATGTTGATACCATAAAAAATCATGCAAAAATTCAAAAATGTTGCAAGTTTTATAAATCAAGCCTGATACAAACAAATTTTACAAACAATTAAGATTCAAGAGTTTGTTTATACTTTGGGGCTTCTTTTATACAC